AAAACCTGAAGCATCATCTTTGATGTGGACGAGTCCACGCCCTCTGTATTGTCGAGACTCAGGTTAAGGGTTTCCTGATTGGCAGATGAATGGCGGACTGCTTCGTGAGTATCACCACATTGTTTTCCAAAAGCTCTATTTTCTTCATCATTTCGTTGATCTTGATGCGTATGTTAGTCGACTCCGATAATTTGTTATCGACGACATAGCTTCGTGCTTTGTTGATAGCATTGCTGATGACCCATCCGCCAATGTATCGCACTTTTCCACGCCCTTCTGGCCCCATTTCATGCCCATTGAAGTCGATTGGTTCTTCTTTTCGCACACGTTTTCCTAATTCCTCTCCAAATAGTTGGAATAATTGGAAGACAAGAAGAGCACTTACACTTCTTTTCCTGTCATCCAAAAAAATTTTTAGGACACGTTAAAACGATACTGCAAAAATATAAAAAGGAAATTTGATGTTTCAAATTGTAATAAACTGATATTTGTAATCCACTATAGCAGTAATTTTGAGTGTTAATGCATGATAAAGTTTGAAGTGAATGCAATTATTTTAATGGAGTAATTGCACAAGCCTTCGATCTTCTTATTCTTTTTTTCCTTCTTCTTGTTTTCAGGGTGGGGAGGAGGCACAACGAATAGTGGAAGGGGAAAAAAAATTTTTGCCCATTGTACTATTGCTCCATACAGTGTTTGTCAGTTATTATACTTAACATAACAAACAAATGTCTATTAGGAATTGTAGTATAATTTCAATTTGCACTCAGATACAGCTAGTGATCACTATAAGCAATATATATTTGAGATGTTCGCATAACTGTCTGAAAATGTTTTCGTATTGATGATAAACTATAAAATAGTACATATATGAATATTGTTCCAGTTGTTCTTGTTCACTTTCTGGCATGAAAAATGTTAAAGGACATTAGCAATAAAAAATTAGTTTAGTTCATTTGAAAGAACTCTTAAAACTATATATTAAACTCTATTACAGATTGTTTATATCTTGCTTAGTTTTCAAAATATTTTGACTGAAAAAAGTGAGCTGTTCGCCATCTTGGATTATTGAGGATATGCATGTTTTGTCAAGAGAAGGTCACCCTAATTTTTTATCTTGAGAGTAAGCGATCAATATGGGTCCAAAACTTCGTTTCTGGTCACTGTCTGAAATTTAGAAATGATTAAAAACATTTCAAACACTTTTGGATTGTTACTCGGTCATTTTAGAGTAGTTTTATATGGTTAACTGACATTATCAAAACCATAGTTAATGAGACTAATGATCGAGGTAAAGAATTTTTCCAAAATGGTGGAAAGCTCATTAATTTCGGTCTAAATATTTCGAGAACTAAGCAAGATATGACAAATCTGTAACAGAGATTAATATATAATTTTAAGAGTTCTTTTGAATGAAACAAACTAATTTTTTATTGCCAATGCGATCATACAGTCAAACGAGATGTTATATAGTACATAGTATCGCATGGACATGTTTAATATAAACATCAGTTCCTGATAAAACACAAGTGATATTGCATACCTCCATAGAGATGTAATCACAATAGTAAATATTCATTGGACAAGTTATCCGTCCTAAAAGAAGAAATCCAAGAAACCGTCTGCGAAACAGGAGCGTTCATTCTGGAATTTCTGTGTAGACATGCAAGGTGACTTATTGCATTAGTTGCATGTATAAACTTCCAATTCAAATTCAGTTATACAGTATGTTATATGACCCCTTTAACATTACATATAGGAGGGATCAAGTATTTGAAGTTCACATGTTTGTTTCCTCCCACCCCATCCCAACTCTGCAGATAGCTCTCCTCCCATGCAGTAAGGAATGAAAGAAGACACAAAAAAACATATCGAGAACAATTTCACTGGAATAACTTTTAGACATTAGCTGACTACCTCCGTTATCATGGCCCCTCTCAATAATACTTTGGTATGCTTCTGATTAAAGATGACAGGAATATAGCTGTATGTAAATATTTCTAACACATATATACATTCGCTCAATTTGGTACAGATCATCTGAGGCCTGAGAGAGAGAAAATACGACACAACAATTCAATTTATTTACTTCAATAGTCCATGAATTAAACCTATTTAAGTAAATATTTAATATTTTAACACTTCAAATATTAATAATGTCTCTGTTAATCGATATCTTCAATAGCAAGTAGACAAACTTAAAAAAAAATACCTGAAGAACTCACATGGAGTCTACTCCTACTTTTCATACTGTATTAATGTTTATAGATTATTCAAGACTTTCAATTTTCTAATTGTAATCTGTAGAAATGCATACTACCATTGCTATGCAACTGGTAAGTATTCTTTACAACATTTAACAAGTCGGAATAAAATACGTATAATAGCGAGCGCTTACACTCAATCCAAAGAGACAACTCAACAAAAGCCACCAAGGCGGTCATGTTGGTGTTCCAGACAAGAGAGTTTAATTATTTTGAATTGGAACACCGGCAACATGGCAGCTGTAACGTCTAAGGACTTATATGGTATCTAGACATTAATTTCCTTATGCTTGTTTATGTAGAAACAACCAACATGCTACATCATCAGGAGAGACATGACTTCTGCATCTCATCGATTTACAGTATAAGTATTATCCCAAGCATGTTGGGTCATCGAGAATAACATTTGGACTGCAGAATTTTTCTAAAAGAAATTTACATTTATACAATTTTTTACAAAGGAACTTTCTGATATAATTGTTATTACATTATATATTTCTTTTGTGTAATTGTCCAACTATTTCTCATAATTATGTAGTATATGCCTGTCTTCCTTGTAAGTTTGTTTATTTAGTTCAGAACCTTTCTGAAAACCATTTTGTGAGAAAGCTCCCTGTGTACCATATATATGTATAGTAAACCATATGTATAGTTAACCATACGTATAGTTAACACGCAAATCTCTCGTTAGAAATAACATGAACAAAGACGTTAAAGGATAATCAACTTGATAGCACTATAGTACTCAAAATTGATATAAGTATTTAATAAATATGTAATTCTAATTTATTACAAAGAACAACTATTAATAATAATAATAATAAAAGCATTTATTTAAACACGATAGTAAATTTACAGCATAGCTGATGTGGTCGTGCACGTAAAACTAACTACAATATATAAATATAAACTAACTGAATACATCTATCTCTACATGATCTAACAGAACAACAAATTACATGTCACATAACTGAGATACTATTTTACACAATCCATACATATTAACTACTTAAACCTATGGCGTCGCATTGTAGCACAATTGTTATATTATATATGACCATCTAATTTCCAGTCAGTCAGTAATACCAAAACATAAACCCTTTAGGAAATAACTACGAAATACTTTAGACATGCAAGTAGAAGCTTTAATTAAGTGCTCTTAGCGAGATTAACCAGCTTTGTTGTAAGATATATAGCTATGTTAAGGCAGGATTTGATTAATTTAGCAATAATTAGGCATTAGCTAGTCATATATTAATTATTACTGTCTACAATTGCAACGCCTTGACAGACTTTTTGAACTTAGCGAGAGATTCAGTTGATTTAAGTTCTTTATCTAGCGAGTTCCAGAGAGTGACAGCCTGGTAAGATATGGATTTTTTTAGATAGTCAGTGTTAGGTTTCGGTAGTACATAAGTCATTTTATTTCTAAGTTCATAGCGATGGCCAGTTTTTATGAATAGAGATTGCAACGTTGCAGGAATCAGATTATAATAGTTTTTATAAGCTAAGTATAAAAGTTGTTGTTTAAACATACTGTTCAGCGTAAACCACTTCACTTTTGCGAGAACATCTTTTCCTGAGGTGTACCAATCCAGGCCAAAGATAACTTTCGCTGACCGGACATGTATTCGTTCCAACTCGTCGAACAAGGTCTTTCCACATGAACCCCATATCAAAATTCCGTACGTGATGGAAGGTAACACAACTTTGAAATAAAAGTCTAGCTTCGCATTAATTGGCAAGAAGTACAATGATTTCAGTAGATTGAGTTTTTGACTAAATGACAGAATTAAATCCGAGACATGACTGCTCCACCCCAGATTGCAGTCGATTTGCAGCCCTAAACATCTGCTTGACACGACTTGTTTTATCTGGTTTCCTCCTAATTTGATGCATTGGAGTGGGCCGACGAACCTCCTTCGACTCATCAGCATGAACTCCGTTTTGTCAGGATGCGGCGTCAATCGATTTTCGCAGCACCATTTGTAAAGTTTGCCTAAGATCCTGTTCAGAATATTTGCCACCAAATCGTGATTTGGCGCAATGACATAAAGTGTAGTATCGTCCGCATACATGTAAATTTCTCCTTCTTTTAAGTCGTCGATATCTGGCAAATCATTACAAAATAACGAGAAGAGAATCGGACCTAGCACAGATCCTTGGGGTACACCAAACTTAACAGGCATTGACTTCGATACATGACCATTGATTACAGTCGCTTGATGGCGATTCGAGAGATAGTTCTTTATCCACGACCAGAGATTGCCCGATACACCTAGCTCTTGAAGTTTCCTCAGCAAGATTGGGTGAGAGATCGAATCGAAAGCCTTTCGAAAGTCCACGAAGACAACACCGACCACTAAGTTATCGTCTAATGCCTGTCTCCAATCTTCGGTCATTTTCACCAAGAGTAACTCTGTCGAACGACTTTTCTTGTATGCCCATTGATGAGTGTGGCTGAGCTCATGGTCTGCGAGGTGAGTGGTGATGGTTTGGGACACACACGTCTCCATGAGTTTGCCGGGCACACAGAGCAAGGATATGGGTCTGTAGTTGCTCTTCTCAGTTTCATCGTCCTTCTTGTACAGTGACGAAACAATGGCATTTTTCCACTGGTCGGGTACGCTGTTACTTATTGCACTTGAAGTGTAGAGGGAAAGTAGAGATGGAATCAATGCCCAACCAGCGTTCTTGAGTAACTTGGGTGAAACCTTATCCGGACCACATGCCTTGTCGGGTTTGAGATTTAGCACTCCTTGTAACACACTCTCGTAAGTCAGGTTGATATCCATCACTGTGGGCGTAACGCGGTTGATGGTAGTGGTGAAAGTTGCATGGTATTCTATAGCGGGAAGTGTATCAGCCAGTTTTTCACCAATTGTTGAAAAATGTTCATTAAATAACTCAGCTTTCTCTTGATCAGATGTTATGATTTTTCCATCTAGTCCTTTAATACCAAGTATTGGTTTCCTCGACAGTTTATTCGTAGCATTTTTCGCAATCTCCAGTATGACTTACAACTCTTTACTTCATTGAACATGTCTACGTAGTATTTAGTTTTGGAAAGTCTTACTTTGCGTGTTACTCTATTTCTCAACGCACGGTATTCCTCAAACAAATCTGGGTTTTGCGATCTCTTAGCTCTCAAGAACGTTTTGTATCTGTGGTTCATCAGATGGCGAATTTGTGGGGTGATCCATGGCAAGGAGTTCTGTCTTACCTTGACTTGTCTGTAAGGCGCATGTCTTTCGCAGATGTTGTTAAAAAGATGACCCCACGCCCAGTAAACATCGTCCGTATCATCAAACACAGAACACACAGACCAAGGTGCTTCTTCGATATCTTTACGAAAATTTTCCGAGTTGAACTTACTGTAGGTACGTGCGTTGATGATCTTTGGTGGAGGTCTTTTTACCTTAGTTGCTAACGAAACGTACACTAACATGTGATCGGAAATTCCTAACTCCAAACATTTTGTTTCTTTAATCATTTCCGGTGTACTGGAAATTATATGGTCAATGAGAGTTGAAGATGTTGCTGTAACTCTAGTTGGCTGGTCGTTCATTACAGTGTAGTTAAAATGTTGTAATGTCCGGAGGAGTTTTTTACCTTGTATTGACACAATTTCACCGTTTTTCGAACGAGTTATATCAGCATTTAGATCACCAATGATTAACACATTTCTGAATTTACTCCACACTTTTTCCAAAACCGTATAAAAGCTGTTGAAGAAATTGTAGTCCGACGGAGGTCTATAGACAGTTCCTAGTATAGTTGAGGTCGAGTTAACTGTGAGTTTAAGCCATATTCCTTCGATTTCGCTTGTCTCTAGAGATTTAAGTTGCGAGCAACAAATGTTATTTGAAACATAAACAACGCAACCTCCTCCGGGGCCATTATCTCTGTCCTTTCGAGCTATTTTATAATTCGCAATGTTCAATTGTTGGTTAGAAATCTTTGCTTCAAGGTGCGACTCAGTTATTGACAGCACATCAAGACGGCATACTTTCAGCAGTAATTTAATTTCATCTAGTTTGTTCCGGAGACTACGAATATTGATGTGTGCAATTCGTAGGTTGGTTGACGAGTTATCTAACGAATGAACAAACTGTTCTAAATAATCTTTGCGACTGTCGACGCTTTGCGTACTAGGGCCGGGATTTAGCTCAATGTCACCAGAGAGTAACAGAATTTGCCTTGAAGCAACAGAGTTTGAATAATATGCAACACGACTATGTGAAAACTTCCTTTTTGCGAAATTACCATACAGTTTTGTTCTCGAATTTACACAGTTTAATTGATAGAGTTGCCGAGATTTTGATAAAACATATATAGTGTTGCTAGAAAGTTCTTCTGGCACTATTAAAACACAGAACGTAACTAGAAAGCAGAGTACCGTTAATTTATTTGATAGCTTGTGTCCAGTCCCTCTTTTCCTCCTTCGCGCGGTCAATGTTCGGCGGTTGATGCTTGCGTCACAATGTTTGTGCGCGTGTCCATTATTTGCTTGCGTGCGCAAACGGTTGCGCAAAGGTAACGGTTTTACGTAAGCAAACTGAAGAACCAAAAACAAACAAATTCTCAAAACATAAACACGCATTTTCCAAAGATACTTTTCCATTAGACAGTAAAACACGAAGATATCCAGTACATCCATAAACAAACACTTTACATACAAGATTCAACAATAATTTTATACAAAAATGTTCAGCATAAGATACAAATCTTACGTAAAATACGGAGCTGTGCAGCGCACTTCTGCACGCGCCCGTGATCACGTATATTCACTGCCACTGGTCATTGCAGGATGCAAAGTTAAAGAAAAATTACTATAGCCTATTAAACAATTTTGTACAGAGAAATGCAACGGGACTTAGATGTGATACATTATATACTTTTAAAATTAATTAAGTAATTAATATAGTATTCGATTAAAGGGAACATTAATTAATTGAATGTGATGTTGGGGAAGACGAGTCAGTGCAATGATTCTCCAAAATCAGAACAAGTTCTCGTGGCAGAATGCATTTTATTGATCATTTCTTATGTTTTGCTCTACAAAAGCGATGAGAATTTACACATAAAAAGGCACTGCTTAAAATTTCATTATTTTTAAATTCTGTTGAATTTACTTGTTGGCCAACAAGTATTTAATTGATTTAAACGCTGGGAGAAATGTAGTTTTGTGTCACTGGGACAATCTGCTAAAAATACTGTCGTATTCATATATGTATATGTCGTATTCATATATCAATTCATATATGTTTTTGGCGGCCATATTGAATTCTGAGCAGGCATATTTTGACTAATGTTTGCAGCCATGTTGTATGAGATTTCTGGCTATGCACATAATTCACAGTGGTTATAGTATTCTCAGTAAGTGGAATAATTGGCCATCATTATGGAAATTCTGTAGGCTGAACTATTTAAAATGTTTAAGAATGTTAGTTTTTAAATTAACCAAAGCCAAAGATATTTGAAAACACAGTATGAGTCTTGGTGCCTAACTATCAGTGTATTATTTGTAAAAAGTGTCGTTGAAGCAGAGAATTTAATTGATCTCCTGATAAAAGGCATGTTTTCTTGAGGTTGTAGCAATTTACTTTACAAAAATAATATTAAATCAAATGTAACCTAGTAGATTGTTAATTAAGCCAATACATTCGATGACAAGATGGCGGACAGACAACATGCCCTACAGCGCAGTGCACAAAATCTCAACAATTCAGTTAATACTACACCCATCAAATCGGTTCAAAGCAAAATCTCAAAACTTAATACCACACCACAAAAGTCAGGAGAAAAAAGTAAATCAATAAAAACAAAGTTAGATGAGTTACACGACATGGTGAAAGTCGTGATGAATAAGCTAATCGAAGAGCGTATAATAAAGAAAGTAGAGGATGGTTTTAATGATTTAAAAAACTGATTTACTTCGCATATGCTGAAGTAGTCGACTTAAAGGAAGACAACAAAGTTCAGAAGATAAAAGGCGAAGAAATTCGTGCAAGAATAGAAAAATTGGAGCAAGAAAATACCGCATTAAACAATAGCGTTATTGACCTCAAAGCAAAGTCAATGTGTGACAATCTTATATTTTATAACTTTGAAGAAACAGAAAGAGAAAATACCACTGAAAAAGTCCACGGATTATTAGTAGAAAAGATGGGATAAAATTGACCGCTCGCACAGAATAGGAAGAGCAAAAAGAGATGGAAAACCACGACCTATCGTGGTTAAATTTAACTGGCATCAAGACAAGGAGCAGATTAGATTTAATGCAAAAAAACTCGCGGGAAGCAATATCGGAGTTTCGGAGCAGTATCCAGAGGAGATTAATGCTATAAGCAAAAAATTGTACCCTGTGTACAAGGAAGCAAGGAGGAATAAGAAGAAAGCGACGCTGGTTCATGACAGATTATTTATCGATGGCAAGGAATTTAAACTATGATGAACAGACATATTCAGAGTTGTATTTCATGCACTTGGAATACCATTACATAATTATATCCTTTAAATTATTTAAATATTTTCTTTATTCCTATAACTAAATTTAACAATGTCTACAAAGACTACAATTAGCACAATTATTAATGATATTGATCCCATGCCTTTATATTGTTATCCGGCAATGAATTTTCTCAGGAATATTCCTTAAGCGATCAAGAATGTCAAAAATTCAGAAATGGGTTCACACAGCGATATGGATAGACTAAGTCAATTGAAATTCGATCTCTTTAAAAATAATGATAATATAGCATTAAGCAGAAATAACACTAACTTAGACAACTCTCTTCAGATTAATAATATGAACTCTAACTACTATTTACCAAGTGAATTTAGAAAAAAAAACAACAGAAATAAATATTAAAAGTAATTTTTCTCTTGTACATCTGAATATAAGAAGTATCACGAACAAGTTTGATCACTTTAAAAGAGCTACTTGATTCTTTAAACACCGAATTTAAAATTATAGGATTAAGCGAAACATGGCTTAATGATAATACTAATGATGCTGGTTTTGATCTACCAACATATAACTATGTTGGTACAAACAGAACAAATAAAAAAGGTGGAGGGTTTGGAATATACCTTAATACAAATATTGAAGAAACAATAGAATCAGTTTTTATTGAGGTAAGAACATAATAGTTGGAGTAATTTACAGACCACCAAACAACAAAAT